GTTTTTTCGTCAAAAAGCTTAAATCTGAAACGGTCAAATCATGTCTTATTTTGTTGAAATTTGCTTTCAAACTACTTTTATCGTTGCCTTAAGTGCCTATATTATACTTTTCTGGTGAAATGATTATTATGACTTTTTTCAGCATATTTGGCATTTTTCATGAAATTCTTGCTCAATCCTTTATTTATTCTTAAAAATTCATAAAAATTTTAGCCCAAAAAATTATTACTTTAAGTTGAATACTTGTAATTCTGATCGTCAGAATTAAACCTATTATTGCATACAGGGTGACAATAAAGTAAAAAAAAGAAAAGAGGAGAAAGGCTTAGGGTTTGTGGGATGAAAACTACAAACATGCTGAATTTTGGTTAAAAAGTTAAATACCTGTGACCCTCACGCAAGACATTAGAATCGGGACACATTTCTTCAATCCATTCATACAAATTTTCAAAAAATCCATTCATTTCAAATGTCTCTCCAGCATGTGTAGGGTAGGAATAAAAGTCTATTTGTTCAAAGTTTGTATAGTGCATACGAGGTGCTTAACAATTAAATTTAAAAATAAATTAAAAAATGTTTTAACTTAATTCAAATGCTCTGAAAAAAACATTGTTGATAAATAGGCCGTTTGGATTTGCATTCTGTATAATTCCTCGAATAACGTCTTTTCTTACTGTATAGTTTACTTGTGCAAATGATGATTCTGCTTTAAACCCCATCATTATAGAATATATTAATTCTTCCGAAACGATGGAAATGATTAAATTTTGATCATATCCGCTATAAGCATTGACATATCCATTCATCGCTAATATACTGAAAATATATAGAACTATGTATGTACTTTATTGGCATATCTAAACACTCATCGCCAGTTTAAACACACTAATGGATGAATCACCGAGGGCAAGGACTGTAATTTTCTTTTATAAATCCCCAGAACTCGACCTTGCTTACACTCATGCAAGTGTATCTTTTGCTTTCTCCTGTCTCAATATTCATCGATTAACTCCTAAGCTTTTTTTCTTCTAGATGAAGCTTCTTATAATAATTCTCGGGCATAATTACTCTTTGATAGATCACGCATAGGCGTTTTAAATGGTTTGTTTGAGGGTATCTCCGGAGTACCAAGGTATTACTTTTTGGGGACCTTTTGGTAGTCTATTCCAAGGTCATGATTTCCAATTTTATACCTGCATCCCGCTTGAATTAATAAATATCTATTAGAAAATCGTTCAGTAAATAGTTTGTAATAATTAATATCCAATTGAATAGCACACAAATTAGACCACGCTGTTTCGTTCGAAAAAGATGAGAAGGTTCTTGCAAATTCTTGTAATGTAAACTGAATTGAGGGGGAAATTAGTTATTAGAAATTTTCTGTAAGAATGTCCCTCTTTTTTCAAGTCCCTTTTTTCCTCCCCAAGTTTTTCCTTATATGTACAGAATGGTCAAACTTTTTACTTTCTTCCTTCCCAATTGCTTTTCTTTCCTTGTGAAAGAAAGATAAAAAATAATCGTCTTTGATTGTTTGTGGGCAAATATAGTCAGGAAGAATATAAAAAGTCAAACCATTCTTTACATATAAGAAAAAACTTGTAGAGGAAAATATGTGGACGGGAAACGACACTTTTAACAAAAATTGCAATAATTTTTAAAAATAATCTTAATAAATTTACATTATCAGTTTGATGTTGGTATTTTCCATTAAATCGAGTATTGAGAAAATCTATTTCATCTTGGCGAAGCTCATATATCAAGTTGAAAAAATTGAGAAATTTAATTGTTCCGGAAAGAATTTCTGTCAACTTGTATATAAGACGCAGTTCCTGCAATGAGCTTTTATAGCTAAAATTTTGAGTTTTGTATTTAATGGACACAATAGAATCTTCATAAAATTTAGGATAAACACATAGTCGTAGTAGAGACCTGAATTTTGTACTGACCGTATTCCGTACTGTAATACCGATAGAGTTCATCGGTATCACATGTAATCCTCCCAAATCTATAACCAAAATTATAAAATTTACTGTACATCAGTGTTCTGTGTTGCTGCCATTTGAAAGAAGAATTTACGTCGCACATTGTATATCCACCCTTGTCCAAATAAATGAGGATTTCCAGTCGACATGAATTTTATCGAATCAACCGCAAGAAAGATTGGTTTTGTCAATAGAAATGCTCTCATGAAATTTTTAAAAATGTCGATTTTTTGTTTTTCATCAACTAAATTTATTGCAAAACAAAACTTGGAAATTAAAGTTTTTTAAATATTCTTAAAATAAATTTTATGCGTTCCTAAGTTAACCTAATTTAATATGCTTTTCCAATGGTGCCGTGTGATTTGGGCAGTGGTGAATTGGGCAGTGAGTTAATTGGGCAGTGAGTAATTTGGGCAGTGAGTGATATGGGCAGTGAGTGATATGGGCAGTAAACGTTTTTAAAAAAATGATTTTACACACAAAAACAACTTGAGTAACACTTGAAAAATAATTTTGAGTGATTTGGGCAGTAACTTAAAATTTTTAAAATTATAAACACACAAAAATTCAAGGTACCATGTCCAAATTTTTTCATTTGCCAACCTTCACAGTTGTGGGAACAATATTACCATTTGTCGTAATTATTTTGGCCCAATTTCTGACGTTTCCCTAACTGTTAATTAGATTTAAGCTACGAAAAATTGACAAATAAGTTCCTATTCCAAGTTTTTAGGTCTCAAAATAGGTCAAAAATATCTGAAAAAGGCCAAAATAGTTTAGGAGAAATATGTTCAAATTTTGGATTTACTTAAGGTTGAGAAAAATTTTCGAAATTTTTTATCAATTTTAAATAATTTTAAAAATTTTAAGTTACTGCCCAAATCACTCAAAATTATTTTTCAAGTGTTACTCAAGTTGTTTTTGTGTGTAAAATTATTTTTTTAAAAACGTTTACTGCCCATATCACTCATTGCCCATATCGCTCACTGCCCAAATTACTCACTGCCCAATTAACTCACTGCCCAATTCACCACTGCAGTTTTCACCAGACACGTTTTCCAATAGGCTTTATTTCTTTTGAATTGTCCTTGCCTATACAGTAGAATCTCGTTTAGTATACACGCGAATTGACGATGCGAAAATTGATGAAAAGTATTGAAGTAAGAGCTTGATATCCATCTTAGTGTAGATGTTATATAATTTTGCTTACCCTTAAGGAATTATACTATAACGAGATTCTATCTTTTATTTTAAGGTGAAATTGGGAGTAGAGTTTGCAAGAGCTACAGAACCATAATATAATTAACCAGAAAATTTAAAAATTTTTACCATCACGATTTTTATATTTTTTATCTACCACATTGGAATAGTTTGTGTATATTTCATTTACACATTGAACATAACTATTGACATTTAGCAACATCTCTCTTTCCATATATTTTTCAAACTCACGCGTTTGGGCGAAGTCGTTCTGTAAAATAATTAAAGAGATATATCCTGGTGATATATAATAGAGTTGAAGATGAATTACGTTTGAATATAATTCTTTGCAATAGTCAAGAATACCACCAAAACGGTAGTGGTCGTTAAATAGTGCAAGTCCGTTGAACAAATGTTGAAGCGATTCCAATGGATCCCGTTTTTTGTTTGATTCATTCGGTAAATATTTTATCAACAATTTCTTTACTTGTAATCGTATTGAATTGTTTAGATTGTGTTGTGCATCACAGAAATTTTTGAAGGAAAACAAAATGAAAATTAAGGTGAGGATTGGGAAGTTTAGGGGAAATGTTTTCAACTTCATTTCTAAAATTTTATATTGTATAGAATTAAAAGGCATTATTAAATGCTAGGCATGTGTTAAGGGCATTGTGGAGTCTACAACTACTAGAGAAGTAAATTTCCTACTTCCTAAATAAAAATGCAAACAAAATACGGTAAATTTAAAAAGTTCAGTAAATGATAAAATGGTAAACAAATTTAAGATGGATAAAAAATTAAACGATGGATAAACAAATTAAACGATGGATAAAAAATTTAAAAATTATAGAGAGTCGACACTGCCAATAAATGTTGATGGGACTCGTTGTGTATGTGTGGAAGGGGGAGGGCTATATTACAGGGAATCTGCCAGCTCCTGTGAGAGAGAGAGAGATAGAAAGAGAGTGAAGGAGTGAGAGAGTGGAGGAATCGTTGGTAAGAGAATAAAATGGAATCAATTTATTTGCGTGGATTTTATTAATAAAAAATTTTTCAGAAGCATCGGCAAGAAAGGATAGACAAAGTTGAGAGGCAATTTAATCAATTAGTCAGCCAACTCAAAAATTTGCTGGAGTGGGTTACCTTGAATCTCCTGATGAAGCTAAACAATAAAAATAGGAAACTCAAAAATCCAAGAATAATATAATAATAAATATGAATGAAAATTTGAATTTAAAGATAGGATGAGGGAGAGAATTAGGGAGAGAATTCTACCTTTTTATGATTAATTTTAATTATAACTCCCTCTCAGCGGTACTCTTAGCGCATAAATGCAAGAAAATGTAAGAGCTAATTCCCTTTGCTAATTGTTGAGACAACATTACTACTTTTGAATTACTCTTCTATATTTTTGAATTATTTTATTATTGAACAATGGCTCCTCCACCTATAAAGAAATCAAGGATGTTCCTGATCAACAATTTACTTGATTTGCAATCAGGAGAAGGTAAATTTTTAAAACATTTGTAGAAGAAACTAAAATGACGAAAATTTAATATGACTAAAATTTCGACAAAATTTCTAATATCTGGTTTACCCGATGATCCCGAGACTTTATTGAAAGAACTCTTCCAAAAATGTGTTGACCAAACTTTGTACTTATCCCACATTAACCAACTTGACTCAGACCACTTGGCTGTACCGTTAGCAGTCAATTATTGGAATCAGACATTTGGATCCGAATCCGTGAAATTAATCCCAACACGGGGATTCAATACTTAACCAATTCCTAAAAATCGCCCAATCCAAGAAACAGAATCAGGGGATGTTATGGGGTGAAAATTTTACAATTTTAGTTACATGCGTGGACAAAATGAATCTTCAAACTTCACGTAATATTCAAGGCAGTGGCAGAAATTCGACAACAATTCAACATAAAGTTAAATACCACAATCTTTTTAAAATTATTAATTCAGACAACTAATGTATATTTTGCTCACTGTCTGCCACATTTATATTCTCAACATGCTCATGGCCAAAATGGAAATTTTACGCTACATACATAATAGGTTTGGCATGAAAAATCTTTTAGAACGCGATAGAAATAATCTAATGGAAAATATGGGAGCTCCTCTGAATCAGTCTACGTACAACGCGATGGAATGGGTGCCCAAAGTGGTTGATTAATGGAATTCTTTGAGAGGTGGATTTAAAGTTTTTATTTTTGGTCAACTGGGAGAAAAACCTATTTTTAAATATGTGGAGGAAAGTCCGTTGAAATAATTTTAAATCGATTCCAATGAGTTTTTGTCCGATTCATTAGCCAAAAATTTGGTCATCAAATTCTTTACTTGTAATCGGATTGAATCGTTTAGACTGTGTTGTGCATCACAGAAATTTTTGAAGGAAAACAAAATGAAAATTAGGACGAGGATTGGGATGTTTAGGGCTTCATTTCTAAAATTTTATATTTTATAGAATTAAAAGTCATTGATAAAAGTCAAGGCATGTGTTATAGGCATTAGAGCTGAGCTTATATTAGATTATTTACGGTAAATTTAAAAAGTTCAGTAAATGATAAGATGGATAAACAAATTTAAGATGGATAAAAAATTAAACGATGGATAAACAAATTAAACGATGGATAAAAAATTTAAAAATTATAGATAGAGTCGAAACTGCCAATAAATGTTGATGGGACTCGTTGTGTATGTGTGGAAGGGGGAGGGCTATATTACAGGGAATATGCCAGCTCCTATGAGAGAGAGATAGAAAGAGAGTGAATGAGTGAGAGAGGGGAGGAATCGTTGTAGAGAGGTTGTGGAGTTTTATTAACAAAAAATTTTTTAGAAGCATTGGCAAGAAAGGATAGACAAAAATGAGAGGCAATGTATTTACTTTAAAGTGATTGATTGAAAAAAAATTTTTTTAATTATTAACTTATTGGACCCTAAACATTCAATAATAAATACAGTAAACTGTCTTTAAAAGTAAGCAGCTGGGCTATAGCTATTTTATTTTTCGGCTAGTGCAAAAGGTTATGAGCACCAGGAAGCGAACCAGCATCTTCAGTAGACCGGACTGATGTGTTAACCACACCACGCCGCCTACTGCACAGCCTTAAAAAATAACTACCTATATGCTTTACAAAAAATTGGGAAAAAAAATTTAATTAAAAAATGTTATTTAAAATAATTATTAAAAAATAAAAAATAATTTAATTTTAAAAATCAAAATAAAAAAAATAATGGCAGGAGGAAAAGGGATGTGGAGACTCATGCCCGCCCTTGTAACATTAACTCTCTTGTGTAGGTGTCTCCTTATCGAAGAGCTAATTATTCAATGAAACTAAAACCTGCGAGGACGCATTTAAAATTTATCTCGCAAGAGTAGGGTTGTTGCTTCCTGGAAATTCCTTGAATATCGAAACAGAATAGAAAAATTCAACCGAATTTTTCGGATATCCTTACCCGAACCGAAAATTTTCGGATATCTGGGACCGGGCCGAAACTTTTTTCGAGGGTTAATGTGTTATTAAGTATTAACAGTTAACCCTTACACCCCAAGTTCCACTACCCTTAAATTTGAAAGTTATTGTAAAGCTGGCAAAGTTTAATCCTTGGCAAGCAGAAGTAGCAAAAAAGAATCATAGGAGAGGTTCCTTGAAGAGCTTGCATAGGAGATCTTACAGGAGAGCTATATTAAATACAGTGTACACCCGGGCCAAGCGTTCTGTTAAGCGTTATCTCGCGATGCCAAACTTTTCGTTTAGTCATTGGTTGAATGAGACGCCTAAGCGATACCTCCAACTTTAATTTTTTTAATGTATGTTGTGTTAGCCACAGGGGTGTACACTTCGCCATATTAATTATATAAACACCCCTAAATATCGAATTTTTCGTATTTAGCTAGAATACGATTTGTTGAGGTGCATATATTTTCAAAATAAGATAAAAATAATATACTTACTATACATAAAACAGAGGATTTAAAAATAATTAAAAGATATTTTTATAAAAAAATTTGTCTTTTTGCCCATTAAAATTTGCTTTATTTTTATTAAAAATAAAAAATAATTTTTTAACTTTATTATTAAATGATTTTAAAGTGAGAGCTCAATTCCATCTACTATATGAATAAAGACGCTGCTTTAATTTTAGAGGGAGGCGGTAAAGTGTATCCTTTAGAGGGAGATTATATATAGAGAGATTGAATTTAGAGAGTGAGTGATGGTAGGCATTAAAGCGCTCGGCAAATATTTATAGACAGGATTTAAATACAAAATTTTAAAATTTAGAGGAGGGAAAGGGGAGAGAGTCTGGCGGAAAGTCAAAGGAATTGATTTATTCTTGGGTCTTGGTATTGATAAATTTCTAAGAATCGCAAGGCATCAATGGATGGGCAAAAATTAGAGACCCTGTGATGACTGGAAAATTGATTGGCAAAAGATTTTTTTAATTAGTAAATTTAATTTAAATTATTATTTATTAAAACCCCTAACTTTTTACAATGACTAACTAAACATTTAATAATTGTATAACTTGTGATTTGGAAGAAATCAGGAATATCGAAGAGTACTTAAGCATAGTAAAGGTATTATTTGTCTAACTACATACTTCCAACTCCAACCAGTTAGGATAAAAGTCTATAGTGTAATAAACGTGAAGAGCAATCATCGTTGTAGTTAACTAAAATTCTCAGAAAAGTGTAAAGAATGCCAAGAATGGTCAATCTTATAGATAAGCCGATCATTATCTAAGCTTAACATCAGCGCAACTTATCTTTGGGAAAGCATTTGGAAAGTATATCTCCTTTCTGGCCCGTCTCTATATCTATTTTTGCGGCTTGAGCTCTTATACTGAGTTTTACAAAGACTAAGTCTATTTCAAGTAAAAAATGATTTTAAACTTATAATGACATAATCTAAAGTTTTCACCATTGTAAGAGTATAATTTATACCGTGTGGCTTGCATAAATTTATTTATTTATAATTTTATTTATTTTCATAATTTAAAAAAATTATTTATTTATTCTTCCCTTTCTCTATTTTTTAATAATAATTTTCTTTCCCCCCTAAACTTGTTAATTTTCAAATAAAAGCCTTTTGAATGAAAATTTTGGGTCTTTCCTTTATTTCTTGTTATGTTTCCGTTTCCTCTGGGTATTCAAATTGGCTTTTCAAAAAATTTTTTTGTTAAAAATTTAAAAGCCTATTTGGATGATTGAAAAGAATTATTAAAATAAAAAAGACATAATTTTATTTACCAAAATATAAAAGAAAATTTATTTATTTTTAAAAATAAAGAGGAAATAATAATTTCTCTTAAAACTTGAAAAAGTTGAATTTTTTTATATTATGCAATTTTAATAAATAAACTTGTTTAAATAAATTTTGGGTGCGTAGTTGAGTGAGGGTAAGGAAAAAATTCATAACGCTCCAAATATAGTAGCTAAATTGCTGAAATTTGGAACATTAATCCACAGTAAGCTTATCTAACTCGCTTAAAAATTTTATAATTTTATGTTTAGTATTTCATAAATTAAGGGCAAAAAGGTGCTACAAGTTACGGTCAATAAGTTATTATGGGTTAGTTGAGTGAGAATAATAAAAAAAATTCATAACTAGGCTAGTATAATAATTAAATTATTGAAATTTTGTTTTGGCGTTTTTAATAAAGTTATCCATCTTCTCTGAAATTTTCAGAATTTTTGTTTAATATTCCACAAGCTACGGTCAAAAAAGTGCTAAAAATGGGATAATATTTAATATTTTTACCCATAATTTTTTTGATATTCAACCTAAAATTCTGACACTTTCAGAATTTTTAATAAATATTGTTGCTGTTATCTTCTCAAAATTTTAAAATTTTATTTAATGTTTGCCTTTAGATATCAACTAAAATGTTCGTTTATTTGCCTACTTATATTATAAAGTCGAATAAATCAAATGAAAAAAAGTTGCCGCTTTCCCAAGTTAAAAAAAGGAGAAAATGCCTTTCGAGATAATTATATAATCATTTACAAAAATATTTAATCCCTACAATATTTTTCTAGTTAATATTCAAAAAGTAAAGGAGCTAAAAACGCAAGTTACTTAATATGTATTTGTTCATTTTTGAATTTATTTAAATCTATTTCCTTTGATGCCTTTTTAATGTTTGGAGGTAGTTCGGTGGTTTTTATTCCTTTTTATTTTTTTGGTGTATTTGTTTAGTTGTAAAGCACCTTTGTTTAATTCTAAACGAGAAAATGACCGGAAGTTGTTAAAAAATTAAAACAAGGGAAAACAGTAAAATCAGGCTATTTTTTGTCTTTTTCTCTAAAGTTTTTTGCCTTTTTAATTTTAATTTTTTGAAAGGTTTGCCCTTTTAATTTAAATATTTTTACTTATTTTTGTCATTTCTCAAAATATTTTTCCCAAAAAATTGAAAAAAAATAGTTTCGCAATGTCGTCGGAAAACTATGCAATAAATCATTATTTATTGTTATGAAAAGACGACAGATCAAGAGAATAAAAAAGCTTTTTCTAATTTACCGGAAATTAAAATATTTTGGGTAAAAAATTAAAATGTCTCAAAAACTATGAAGAGCGATTTATGTAGTTAATTATCAGAAAGAATTTTCTTTTATTTTATTTCTTGTGTTAAGTATAAATTTTTTGTATAGAATTAATTTTTTGACAATTTTTTAAAAAATTGTTTCGAGAATGCTTTTGAAATTTTTTTGAAAATAAATTCTATCTCACAAAATTAATTTTAATTAATTTGTTTCTCAAATTCAGACGCTCCGATACAGAAATAAATTTTTCTACCCGAATTCTTAAAACTGATTCGAATAAGATTTTAGACACCACTCTCGAATCCCGGCCTGAATTTTGCTCAACTTGTATAATTCACCTGTTTTATGTATAAAACCCCGAGATCAGTCTGTATTTATAAAAAATAATTTTTCTGTTAACTAATAATATTTTTGTTATTTAATTAA